CTTTACAGATATAAATTACAATGGCAGCTCTAGGACAAAGTTTGCAGGAGGAGAAGCATGGCAAAGTGGAGATGACTTGGATGGGAAACGAATCACAATAGTGTGCATTTCATTGGCAATGCACACTGATAAAAAGCAGCAGAAGAAGAATAGTTTGTTTGGTTTTGTTGCCTGCAGATGATTTAGATTTAAATGTCCTCCACACTGTTTCTGTTTAAAGTTGCTCAGTCCCACGAAGCAGTCGGTCACCTTAAAGTTACATTCTTTGCTGCTGAGTTTTCAAATAGTACACTTTTGTGTAAATGAGAGTCCAGAGTGTAAAAATTCAGCAGCTACAGCCTGTGGATTATTAATGTTCTTTCATCATGTCCTTCTTTACCCGCTTTTAATATTGATCATCTGCAGATTCATCTTCTCTCGTTTCCTAATTCAATATTTTTCTTTCTCCTAAATTCTGGTCACCATCTTTCCTTTCATGTGTGAAATAGATTTATTTATTTATTTATTGCACTCCTGCTGAATATGTGTTCTCTCTCTCTTGTACCAGGGCTTGATGATCCTCCTGCAGAACCTCCCCACGATGCACTGGGGCAACGAGGAAGTGAGCGTGCTGCTGGCTGAAGCCTACAGGTTGAAGTTTGCCTTCGCCGACGCTCCCAACCACTACAAGAGATGAGTGTGGCTTTTTTATCGCCGCCACTCCTCCCTTTTCTGTCCCACGGGGGTCTGCTGGACTCACATGAAAGGACCGCCCCCACCTCTCCATTTTCTTAATGTTTTTGTCCGGATTTCTGTGGGCCTTTCAGCTCCTCAAACATTGAAATTACAGTGACTGAGGACATGTGCACTCACTCCTACAGTTTGACGCAGAAACGGATCGTTAAAGATTGAAGGTTTTTCTTGGAGATTTTGGGACGTCGGCGTCTCAGATAAACAAGCCCCCGAGCCCGACGCAGGACTATGAGCCCGGGGTCGGGTCTGCCTCAGAGAGTTGTTATTTTCTGCTTATATTCGACACTACCCTGCCAATTTGTTGTTTTTTTTTTCCTTACGGCTAAAAAAAGTGACTTTTTTCCAGTTTGGAGAACAAAAACAATGGTAGGAAGGCATTTCTCTATGATTTAAACACTCGTGGCCTCTCTTTTCTTGGCCAAAATACCTTAAAAATATGGTTCAGCTGTTTTAAAGTGAGGCTCTGAAAAGGTTGTGAACAAATATCTTACCTGTTGCACCTAGTTAGTAAATTTTTCTTCATAACCTTTTCATCAAGCCCTACTTTGAAAGACTGAGCTCGKAGGAACACAACCTTTTTCCATTTTGCTTCACGAGTGGTTGCTTTTCTAGAATTTTATTCTCCTTCCTCCTTCTCTCAGTCCCTTTCATCCTCCCTCGTCACAGCAACGTCACATGGAAAGCAAACCGTAGCGCGGAGGCTGCCGGTCCAATTCTGGTGACATTAAACATGATAAAAAGCCATCAGGAGGGAACGTTTCTCTTGTTAGAACCGCCTGCATTCACAGCACTCCTCCAAACATACAGTAGGACTACCTCAAATCTCACAGGAAAACTGRAACAACAAACGTTTTAGTTGCAAAACTGCTTTAAAAACTATTTTTCCAAAAAAAATGCCTTATTTAATAAAAGTAGAACTCTCTCTCACCGCTTCCTGTTCTTTTGCCTTTCAGCTTTCCACAGAAGAGCAGCAATCACACATTCTGCGTCACGTTTTAATGTAGACGTTGAAAAACTCAAACTGGCCGACGAATCTGTCACACAAGACAACTTATACCAACTCATGAAACATTTTTTATGTCTAAACTGCTAATAAAAGTTAAATTTGATCAATTTGTTAGAGTTAAATAATGTGCACACCAAAAAGAAGCATCCTGTTGATTTTTTTTTCAATTCCATCTTCGACGTAGACGTCTGTAAAATGTTCATAAGTTGTGTCGTGTGACGGGACCTGTCCCAGGCTGTTTCTGTTCCATAAAACACGACACCAGAAGAAGGTCAGAGTCTTCAACAGATGATACTTAAAATGACAAGATAATTATTAAATACTTTTTTAAACAAACACGGAGCTAAAAGTGATAATTTCATCAATCAAATAAAGATGTACTGACTCCCCAAATCGAATTATGAAGCCTTTAAGCAAAAACACTCCTTGAATTGTTGGTAATAATTTAGTTTTTTATTAAATATTTGGACATCCTCCAGCAAAAGTATCAGTGAGGACATATTTCCACTTTATCGTCCTTTCAAAATAAAGTACAAAGGCAGAAATAGACGCTGGTTACTGTACGTCTTTTTGGAACGCTGGAATTTGAATTGATTTTGTAGATTTGTCCACTTTAACCCGACTATGACCATCCCTACTATGAGGATGAGCATTTTCCCACCCAATAAAAAAAAAAAAATCCTTTTTCTCCTTTTTGGTTTTTTGCTCTTAGATTGAATCAACGCTGAAAGCTACATCTCCCTGACCAAATCAATATTGATTYAGATTGAAAATCAATTGGATTAGGGACTCTGTGAATCAGAATCGCTTTGGGAAATCAGTTCGAACACCTGCCTTCCTGCCTGTAACTGAACTCCGAGGGTGTTTTAATTGGAAAAGTGCATTTTTAATAACGGCGGGAACAGAAATTCTCTAAATAAAAAAGTAATGAAGGCAGATTAAACCCATCCTCACATGTGACCATCACGTTTCCTTCTGTTTGGACTGGACTTCCTGAGGCTCGGCAGGCTTCTCGATCTGCCCATTAATACACAACGTTTTTTATTTTTTTATTTATTTTTTTGATGCAGATATAAACCTGATGGCAGACACGCAACAGAAAACTGTATCTCTGTGACGTTGGGATAATCAGACGCTCGTGACGTAACCGAAAGCCGTTAAGAACCGGAGCCTTTGGTAGCGACTCGGCCAGGATCCATTATCGTCACCAGAGCCAGCGGAGACGGTGAGCGTAGGTGTGTGAAGGGGGGAGGTGTGGGGGGGTGTTGTGTTACTTTGGAAGTTTCAGCACTTTTTCTCTGAGAGCTGTCAGTCTTTGATCACACTCTGGGATTTATTTTTTTTTAACACAATCTGAGCCGGTTTCAGCAGCCCCTCATCTCCCGTGCTCTCTGACAAGAAAAACGGCACTTAATTTAAAAGTCTGCAGCCTTTTTCCTTCCTTTTTGTTTTGTTGTGATGTCATTTCAATCAGCGTTTTTTTAAAAAGCTCGTGTTTTAGATCCTATTTTTTTACGACTACGTATGTTTACATTCAGTTGTGCCTGACTCTGAAGACGCCGCTCCGGTTCTTTCTGACCTCCAATCAACTTGAAATGTTTTGAGTTTCTTAAAAAAAAAAAAAAA